ATACTCTAAGTTTCTCAGTGCTATCTTGGGATGGGTAGAAAGAAGGTCGCTTGAATTGTAGGAGTTTATAGGCACTACGCAGCGGAAATGATATGAATTATATTTAATTAAGCACCTAATCCATAATCGCATGCATAACACACAAGACACATAATCATACCTTTGATGCGTGAATTCCACGAAGCTATTCGACAGGCAAATCAGAGAGAGAATAGGGCCCCAAACGTTGCTCCTCTACTTAGTCCACGATATTCGAACGAGCCGTCCACCAATACTAGATTGGTCAAGTGATTGAGGAAAACCGCGATCACCACCTTTACGGACAACCGACCACCGCACAAACCATCACCACCACGAGACCGCACCGGCGCCGAGGAGGAGGAGAGAGTCGTGTGAGAGAGGACTTTGAGAGGGGTTGGGTTTCGTGTTTGCTAATTAGGGTTTGATAAATCTGATCAGTTAATTGCTTACTTGCAAACCTAGGCACCTAGTCTATTTATAATCTCATTATAATTAGACTAGGGCACGAAGCCCAAAACTCCTTCTAGTCCTCCATATGGCCGGCCACCTAGAGTCATGAGGCCCATGACGGGCTTCGTCCTCTAATGCTCGATCTAGCCCCTTTGTATGACCTTATAGGATCCGTCCAATTGGGCTTTGGCCTATTTTACTAGTCCAAAGATCGTTAGTACCTCTAGCTATGATAAAAACGACGACCCAAATGTATGAACTTAATTATCTCCATAATTTGATCCATTAATATATCTAGTAATTGCACATGACGAAGACATAACTCCTTCAATCTCCTACTTGTCTGAGACAAGGGTGCAATATTCAAATTCCTTAAGTCAATATATGTGTCAATTTGATAATATGATTGCATCAGATGTCGAGATCATATTAGTGTACAAATCGTTTCTTGAAATCTGAGTTAGAATTACAAAACCAAATGATTATTGTGTAATGCATTTGAACGCAGCCACGTATTTTCTAAATTCTCCCTCTTCAAGCGGCCATGACACATTTCCTAATTTAATAGGTAGACTCTATCCAATCTTGTGGCAACAAGCCTCCCACTCAACTTCTGAAATAACCAGGAAACACCCTTTATAATCTCCAGCTAAACGTTGAAGTGTACCACAGTCACAACATCCATTGAATGAAACCAATGTTCCACTCATTTCAAAGGAATCCACTAATATATACGGAAGCTCTATACTTGAACTTCAAAGTAGGTCAATAGTTCGATCATGCATCATTCATGCATATCCAAGTGATTGACCGAGCATCACTATGCCCATATAGCCCATGAAACTGTGCTATCCAATCAATCTTACATGCTAGTCCATTCATTGAAATCATTTATGTCCACTTTAATGATCTCGAACTAGGAACTTAAATAATATATAAATTTTGTTCACCTGTGGGGTTTCAATTCACCAGGTCATCAACCTAATGAGCCCATCAATTCATAATTATTTTGGACATTTTATTTAATTTCTAAAACCATAATTAAATAAGAGAAATAATAATTTCTATTCTAAACATAATTCTGCAAATTGATGCATTTTTCATGTAATACGTTTTCTCAAAACATATACAACTTGAATTACATAACTTGTTTCAATCCTAAGACTTTAATATGACGCTCATACCTTAGTCCATGGAAGGGGTTAGTGATTTCTCACTCATAATAAAACTTTGCAGAACATGACCTTCCATTGGTCAATGATCTCATAATTGAGGTGATTTCTCATATCCTTTTGTTTGGATTTGTGATGTGACTGTGGCTCCTTTGTTCTTGGGCAAAGGTGACCTGTTAGTCACATGACATTTTAATCCGAACTTCCTCTATAACTATCTTATTATAGTTTAATACACATATTCTGACATTGAGTATGCAACAGTGCTCTGCTTTGAACTCTTCAAGCTCACTGTCCTTTTCCATCCAGACACAAATATGCATTTAGATCACCATCTAGAATCATCTTGCCTGTTTGGAAAACTTGCATTCGTTTAACCTTTTGACAACTTGCTTAAATTACCTTTTAACACATTAGCTAGAATAATTCCTCTTAGTGCTTCTCAAGTACTCAAGGATTTGTTCTTGGTAATTCTCCGTATGCTTATTCTGAATTTGCTTGAAACCTATTACACATGCACAAGTCATACGCAACATCTTGCTTTGTACATTTCATGGCTCAAGTAATGGACCCTTTTTTAGAAGCATGAGGTACATTATCCATACAACTCAACTCTATTAGATTTTAAGGCACTTTTACTGAGTGTAATACCAAGAAACATGGGAAGACGTCCTCTCTTAGAGTCTTGCTTCATGAACTTGTCAAGATCCTTATCAACATAAGTCTATCGATTCATTCCAATCATTCTTCAAGATTCACTTCATGGATCTTAATTCCCAATATGTACTTAACATCTCCTAAGTCTCTCATATAGAAACAATCTTTCTAACCACTGCTTGACTTATTCAAGCATTGATATATCATTTCATATGAAATGTATGTCAACTACATACTAGACTAAGAAGATCAATTACTCCCACTAAACTTCTTGTCTTTACAAGATTCCTTTTTCGTTCTACTAAAGAAATCAAACTGTTTGATTGCCTAATCAAAACGAATGTTCCAACACCCTGATGCTTACTTCAATCCATAAATGAATTTCTGAAGTTTGCAAAACTTTCTAGGAATTTCTAGATTTCAAACTCTTAGGTTGTATCATATACATGTTCACCACCAAGAACATTTCATGAAGGTGATTTTGAGATCCATAATTAGAATAATCCGATTAGGCTTACCCAACTAATAGGTTTGACCCTATTTGTAAGACTATTATGGACTAACACATCTTTACAAACATGGAGTCCATACTGGATTTCATGGCGTTAAGCCATTTTTTAAGTTGGCACTTATCCAAAGCTTGCTTGTAGGGCATGGATTCTAGCCATTCTAATAAGAAAATTTTAGAATCCACCTTTTTTAGAATTTCAACAACTGTTTTTTTTTATCCCAAGTAACCTACGATAGGTATGAGCGACAATAGAATTATTCTCTTCAACTCTTTGAAGCCTTTCATTCTAGTGGGACGATAGAAGTCTCGCTAGTTGAAGTAGCTTGCTTCGACACATGTTTTATCAAATTAGCTGATTTCATATGCCTTCATCTCTAATGTAATGTTATCCACATCCATTTGTTGCTCGTCTCGAATCTCATCGAGATCTAACTTTACTCCCACTTGGCTTTGTAGGAAGACATTCTTTCTATAAAGACACTACCGCGAGCAACAAACACTTTGTTTCTACGCGATTATAGGAATAATACCTCTTAGTTTCCATGAGAAAACCCATGAAGAACTATTTTTCTAATATAGGATGCATTATGTCATCTTTGTAAACATTATACATTGATTTCATAACCCTTAATCATGTTTAGAAAAGATAACTTTTAGAACATTTCCAAATCATAACACTTATGAAACCTATTCTACTGCTTTGGTTAAGTTTCCTGTTTAGTATATTAGCAATTGTTGCTGTTCTAATGTTATCCTCAAAACGATATTTGTAAATCATTTAAAACTTGGATCGAACAATGGAAAGAAAAGTTTGATTCCTTATTCATAAACATACATTTTAATTGTAATGTTTCTAGATTGTAAATTAATTCAACAATTCCCTTTAGATGATCATTCCTTTTGAGTTAAATATTTATCACAACAATCATATTGTGGTGTTAAATTGTTTATATTAAACTGATTTTACATTTCATTTTTTGAATTTTGAACATTTCAATGATTCCAAGCTTTACTTCATTAAGTAATTATCGATATATTTACTTAAATCGTTAGTAAAAGCAATGAAATAGTTAAATCTCTTTGCTAAATCTTGAACTTATTGGTTCACATACATCATATGTATGAGTACCAAAAGGTCATTTTAGCTTCTTTTACCCTTTAAAAGGCAACTTGGTCATCCTAACTTATCAAGCATGACTTCTAATTCTCAAGTGATTCATAATGATATAAGAATAAGAGTCCATCCATAACTTTGGATGTGCAAATGGTTAATGTGACCTAACCTTACTTTGTTATAAGTAAGTGTACTTTGAATCATCTAAATTTTAATTATGTGATCTACTTATATCAATGCCATAAAACAAAATTAACTCATATCTAGAAAAAATGAAAGAAATTTAATACCTTGGTCATGGATCAACACTTGTCCAAGCCAAGTAAACCAAATCAGTATTCTAACAAAACTGAAATATTGTTTCATCAAAACTAGAAATGGTTTTAAAATCATCATAAAAATTATGAAATTAAAACTATGAAGCTATCTCTGGTCACTCAAACACTTCTAGTGCACCTTCAAGCTCCATTTCCTTGCTAGTTTCACTTGTTTGCAGTTCCTGCGTAACATCACAATGTTAAGCACTGCAACTTGGTATCTCATACCTAAGTGAAAATTAAAATGTTTATAACAAGAGTGTTAGGTAACTCTTACCTGTCACTTCATCCTAGAGAGGACATCTTGTTCAAGCACTGGCTTATTCTCCTTTCAGGTAATCCTCTACATGATTCTTGAGTAAATAAACTAGTTTGACTGCAGAATCTTCATCATCTTGACAAAGTTTCTCGAGGTCAAAACCATCATGTAGAGAATGCAGAATTATATCATGAACCTCATGATCTTCATATGGTCTCCCTAACATACTCATGCGGTCAAATTGTTCAACCATCGTATCCACATGAATCTGTACTGACTGGCCTGGAAAGAGTTTTCTCGAAATTATCTCGCCATTAATCTTGTAGGTTTTAAACCTAATACTGCCAGTCCAGGAGTCGTCATTCTTGGGAACCATATTAATGATTTCCTTGACGTTTTCATCCATTTCTCCATCAACATGGGAATTCAAAATTCCATAACAAACATCACGTAAGCACTTGAATAAGAGATAAGGTTCATAGTTCATGAATCTTTTAGCTCAATCCTCTGGAATAGAAGACAACATCATATGCGCAATTCTCTCATAATCTGAAACATTTCTCAAATGCTTCTCGAGAGTCATGCTTGGACTAAATCTGCCCTCGATTGGTAAGTCTAAACGAAATTCAAGATTTTCGTTCTTTAGAACACTTCTAAGTTCGCTTTCCCAATCGTTGAAGTTGAGAAAGTTAAGCCTTGTTATCATCGTTGGAGGTAAAGAATTGTCATCATTGTTACGGTTACCCATCTATATATGTCAAAATAAAGAAAAGTTTAATAATTATGTTTAATTTAATAATTAAAGTACCATAAACGCATTTCATTAGGTAACTTTAAAAAACTTTATTCAATAATTAATTGATCCCACTTGAATTTTAAGTGATTCCAAGATGCTTTATTTGTGCAATAATTGACCGGACTGAGGCCCTACCATCAACCATAACATTTTCAAGGTGAGTAAACTCTTTACTGATTATAACTCTTGCAACTCTTGGTTGAATAATTAATCATCACATGCTTAATTATTACCCTTAGCTTCAAGGTTCTAAACCCTTTAGGTAACCTTGTTGAGTATAACCAATTAAAATTGTAAAACTTGATTTACCCCAACTCCCCAAAGATATAGTATGACACCCAGCTGAGGCATGACCTATCATAAATATCGAAGGTTTCATCGGGTTTTTAATTGGAAAAGTTGTAATCCCCCGTATTTTTAAATATTTTATAAATGAAATTTTATTTTATTTATAATATTTATTTGTACTTTTCCGGAATTTAATTACAAAAGTTTCAAATTATTAATATTGGTCAAAAATTATTTTAGCGCAAACTATTTTATGAACCTATGTTCTACAATTCATGATCAAACAAACAAAGCCTAGTCCATTTCATTTACCTAATTGACCCATTAATTTTATGAGGCCTAATCTTCTTATTTACCCTACAACATTCTCTCCTATAAATACCTCATTAATCCCCAAAAATTTCCCACACAAAAAGGTTAGTCTTATTTTCTCTCTCCTTTGTTTTATTAATTTGTATAATTATAATTATTGATTTATGGATTTTGATTTTATTGTTTGAAAGTAATTTAATTAGTATCAAGTTGTATTTTGATGATTAAACTTTATAATTTCAGATTTTATAATGTCATAATTTTCAGATTTTGTAAATTTTATAACCTAGGGTTTTTAATCATTGAAAATCATGATTTTAGGGTTTTTATGAACAATTGATTTAGGGATTTTATAGTAATGATGTTTTGAAATTTTGGTGATTATAACTAATGATTAGTTTAACTTAATTCCAGATTATTTTGAACACTTAAATTCGTTTTTTAATTTTAAGATTTCCGTTTGTTAATATTAATCTCGTTTTAATCCCGATCAGGTTCTAAACTCATTCGATTTTGATGAAAAAGTAGTATTTTCATGTGGAAACAATGTTTTAAGAAAGACTCGCTACTTTAGGTAGTGAGCACCACCCTCTCGTGGCCAAATTCATCCTCTAAATATGATTTTCGGGCAGTTTTTGATTTTAACAAAGTTTTTTTATACTTAAAATATTATCCTTGAGTTTGATTAATAAAATTAATTATGTTAAAAGTTAATTAAGCATAAATATATGTTTTATTGAAGTTTTAAGTGCTGAAAATAGTTTCTAAGTATTACCTTTGATGTTTAATAAAGAGGGTTTAATCACCCATTAAAAAGGGAGATTATTAGGGATTTTTAAATAATTTTAAGATTTTTATTAAACTTTAAACTTGTTGTATTTTCATGTATAAGAGTGTATTTTAAGGTTTTTATGAAGAAAATTTAAATAACTATATATAAACCTTTAATTTTAACTAAACGGAAGGTTTTAATTAAGTGTTGTTTGATTTAGATTTTGAAGGTTTTTAAGTTAGTATTGCTGTAAATTTGATTGATTGGGTATTGATTGAGATGTTATTGTTTGGTTTAGGAGAGGAATTTATTGAAGGTGATTTCTAGATAGTAAAGTGGCATACCAATTAGTTTACTCAAGGTACGTACAAGTTACGAAATCTTGCTTGTAAGTGCATGCCTAAGGACGAATCGAAAACTTAGTATCATGTATAGGATTGACTGGGTTAAATTGTTTAGTTAAACATTGTGAATTCCAAATGATGTGGACTAGTTTATAATGCAAGTATTATTTGTGCTCTAATTATGCAAGGTGCGCTTAAAGGCAAAGGTATGTGATTGGTGTAAAGATTAAATTATTACTCATTCATGATTATGCAAACAGGATGAGTAAAGAAGGAATTCAAGTCTTATAAGACGAGGTTAAGGTTTTGGGGTGCCTTATGCACTCAAGGTGTTTATACACCGAGGTAGTTAAGGGAATAAATAATAAATGTTGCTTGTCACTAATAAATCAAGAATTGAAATTGAAAAGTAGTTTTACTTGATTGAATTGATATTGGATTGATTGTATTGTTTGCATATGAGTCATCACCAAGTCTAATCCTGTAAATCACGTAAAGTGCAAGATGGATGAGCAATAAAACTCTGGATTGGTGCAATTCTGGAGTAATGACAATCAGGGGTTGGGGTACACGGGGTATTGGCCGTGTACTTTTATCGAGGTCGTCTGATCTACGAGTCTCCTATTTCAAATATTATTTTTCTAAAACTAGGAGTTAGGTGAGATCTCATACTAACTACGGTCACGGAGTCGCGCCCGTGGTTGTTGGATGTTTATTGTTGTTTCCGAAAGGAGCTGAGGCATGGGGTTTTTCTTTATTGATGTTCCAAATGGGACATGGGTTGGACAACCTTGTCTATTGCTAATTCCAATGAATTAAATAAATGAGTCATTCAATATCAATTAGTGAGGTCTTAATAAATTTGATAATCGAGTCATGAATTGAGTCTGTATTTAATGATGCTTTCGCTTGATTATTAGTAGCATGTTAGGTATTTTCTTAATTTATTTCGCAGCTTGTATGTACTCAGCTTTGCTGACTGCGTGCTTTTGTGTGTATATTTCTTTGGTCATGGCCTTCGCCTTTCAATGACCTTGTGACGATCCAATTTTTACACTTGTAATATTGGGGAGCAGAATAACCACAGGTTCTTACACATGCAGCATTCATCAGGGTTGTAGGATCTTGAGTAGACAGTTGGTTGTTTGCATTTTATTTCTTTTGCAAGTTTGAATTTATTTTAATTCGATTTTATTTGACACTAATTATTTTGGGTTTGAATTTATTCGAACACTGGATTTAATCACTTACTACTTTTATTGGGTTTTGAATAAGGGCCTTAATGGTTCCAACTTGTAACACTCATTTTGATTTAATTCTTTTGTTTTGAAGTTTATTTATAACTGTTTTGGTTTTCCGCTGCTAATTTCTGAGATAGCCTTAACATTTGAACACGTGGCGGTAGCACGCCAGTAATTCACTTGAAATTGTTCAGGTTATATACAGGTTTCTCACAGGTTTTTAAGAGAGAATTATTAGGATGTTACAAAAGCTACCTCAATATTACCGGGACCTAGATTTATTATGTTGTGATTATTTAGTGAACTCTAGAGCATCATCTATCAACATAAATAAAATCTAACATGCATAATCTACTAATGCAATAAAATAAAGCATGACATAGTATGGCCCCTTAGTCCTAATAAAACTAGAAATGAAAATGCTCCCACTTGAATTTTCTTGCTCCTTTGGGCCTTCACTTCATGGGCTTCTTTGGACTAACACTATTTAAATAACTATTCTATTTACTTTAAATAAAAGTTACAAAAATACTTAACGGTACGCAAACTGTATTTAGATTACAAAAATACTTCACGATGCGCAGATCGTATTTAAGAATCTATGGGCCACACTAGTCTATATACAACAACATAATATCATATATTATAAAAGTGTCATATAATAAATCACTCAACATGCTTGTCTAAACTACAACATCGAATGTTCATAATAAAGTCAACACATTTCCTAAAATATCTTATATTTTAATCATAATTAGATAATATCATATATTATTCATGACCGTTTATAAAATATCATATATTAAATTTAGTCATGAGATAGAATCAAATCATATTTTAATATAGAAAGATAAATCATATTTAATATTCCATGATTATCCTAACAAATTTAGGATATTCTATACTAATTACTAGCCAATCAAATAATTTTAAAATCAATTATATCCTAATTTAATTATGGAATAATCACATTATTTAAATCAATTATTATCCTTTTGGAATATGCTCAGAATATCCTAATCAATCTTATCCAAAATTAACCACTTTAATTAGGATAATTACCAATTTAACAACTTTAAATATGGATAATATCAAATATAACAACTTTTGAATATTTGATTTTATCCTAAAATAAAAGATTTTATCCAAATAAAACCGATTTTATCTTTTAAAATAAAAGGTCATATTTTCAAAAAATTTTATCTTATCCAAAATAAATAATATTTTGAAAAAACACAAGCCGACACTGCCGACCACCGTGGTTGGCTAGCCGAAGCTAGCCACGGTGGCTGGCAGCCAATAGGGCAGCAGCGGCGTGGTAGCAGTCGTACAACGCTTGCACGCTGCTGCCCACAACCACCCTTTGACCTCCACCCTCCCTTTCCCTCCCTCTTGGACCAGCAATGGCGGCAGCCACCTTGGCTGTCGTTTCCATTTTTTTTTGTGTTTTTAATTTAATTAAAATAACATTTATTAAAATTAAATTAAATCAGTCCAAAAATTAAAAATAAATCAACATTTAATCCTAAAATTAGGGTTCTTCATAAAATTAATCCCAATTTAATTCTAACTTTTAAAATTAAATCGATGATCATACACAAAACACTTTTATGCATATATCAATCCGAGTAAAATTATGAATTATAAAATAAATCGAATTAAATCAAAATCAAGCACAAAAATCATATTTTAGGGCTAATGTTTTCGAAAAATAAGGTTAGGGGGTTCAAAAAATTTCAAACATATTAGGGCTGAAATTCGGTCATCTTCATGGCTATTTGAGCATAATTAAATCACATTTAATCGATTCCAAAAGTTTAATAACATTAAATATAATAATTGAACCATAATTAAATTAATTTCTCTCTCTTAATTAATTATAAAATTAACATGGACATCAAATAATCGTATTATTATGATCAAGCGCATAGGTACTACGCAGCGGAAATAATATGAATCATATTCAATTAAGCACCTAATCCAGAATTGCATGCATAACACACAAGACACATAATCATACCTTTGATGCGTAAATTCCACGAAGCTATTCGACAAGCAAATCAGGGAGAGAATAGAGCCCCAAGCGTTGCTCCTCTACTTAGTCCACGAGATTCGAACGAGCCGTCCACCAATACTAGATTGGTCGAGTGATTGAGGAAAACCGCAATCACCACCTTTACGGACAACCAACCACCGCACGAACCACCACCACCACGAGACCACACCAGCGCCGAGGAGGAGGAGAGAGCCGTGTGAGAGAGGACTTTGAGAGGGGTTGGGTTTTGTGTTTTCTAATTAGGGTTTGATCAATCTGATCAGTTAATTGCTTACTTGCAAACCTAGGCACCTAGTCTATTTATAATCTCATTATAATTAGAGTAGGGCACGAAGCCCAAAACTCCTTCTATTCCTCCATATGGCCAGCCACCTAGGTGTAGGGAAATATAGATACTACGCAGCGAAAATAAACATGAATCATATTCATATAGCACCTAACCAAGGATCTCATGCATAACACATAAAGAGTAAGAATAATACCTTTGAAGCGTGATTCCACTAGTAATCAAGCAAGAACAAGGGAGACAAAGAACCTCAAACGTGATTCCTCTACTTGGTCCACAGGCACGGATTAAGACCTCCACTAATGCTAGTTAGTCGCGATCGAACTCTTCAATCGACTTTCTACGGAGAAGTATGAACAACGTACTAGTCACGAACCACCACGAACCACCGCGAGCACCACCAGGGGCGGCCGACCGCAAGTCCAAGGGGGAGGAGAGGGGTGCCGTGAGAGAGAGAGAGGGAGATGAGGGTTTTGGGATTTTGGTTGCCTTGATTCACAATTCACTATGAGTTAATTATGACTCCTATATTCAACCCTAGGCATGGATCTTATTTATAGATCACATCTCTAAATAAGAGTCCATGATAAAGCCCAATTCCTAATCCCAATCAAACTACAGTAGCCCAATCCTATTCATGATTAGTTAAATGCTCATAAGGCCCATTAATGGGCCTCTTACTTGCTTAACCCAATACCTTTGTGTGTGACCTCATAGGATCCATTCTAGCGGGCTTTGGACTATTTTACTAGCCCAAAGATCATCTCTCATAGTCTAGCAACAGATGATGACGCCCCAAGAGAATGAACTTATTATCTCCATAATAGTGATCCTTGATATATCTAGTAATTGCACTTATCGAAGACACAACTCCTTCAATCTCCCACTTGTCTGAGACAAGTGCGCAATATTCAAACTCCTTAAGTCAATGTGTGTCAATTTGATAATATGATTGCATCTCATGTCGTGATCATATTAGTCTACAAATCTTTTCTTGAAATACTGAGTGAGATTCACAGAACAAATGATTACAGTGTAATGCAGTTGAGCACAACCATGCATTTTTCTGAATTCTCCCTCTTCAAGGGGCCAAGACACATTCCTAATAAATAGGTAGACTCAATCCAATCTTGTTGCAACCAAAGCTCCCACTCAATTTCTGAAATAACCGGGAAACACCCTTTATAATCTCCAATTACGGGCAGACGTTTGAGTGTACCACAACCATAACATCCATTGAATGAAATCAATGTTCCACTCATGTCAAAGGAATCCACTAATATATTCGGAAGCTCTATACTTGAAATTCAAAGTAGGTCTATAGTTCAATCATGCATCATTCATGCATATCCATGTGATTGACCGAGCCTCACTATGCTCCTATAGCCCATGAAACTGCGCTATCCAATCAATCTTACATGCTAGTTCATTATTAGAAATCATTTATGTCCAGTTTAATGATTCCGAACTAGGAACTCAAATAATATATGAATCTAGTTCACTTGTTTCATTCATCAGGTCATCAACCTGATGAGCCCATCAATTCATAATTATTTTGGACATTTTATTTAATATTGAAACCACGATTAAATAAGAGAAATGATAAAATTTCTGATTAAACATAATTATGCAAATGAGTGCATTACATATGTAACTTATTTTTCTCCAAAAATAAATACAACTTCTAATTACATCATTTGCTTTAATCCAGCTTCACTAGCATGTTTCTCATGCTTAGGTAGTGGAAGGGGTTTAGTAAGTGGATCAGCGATATTCTCATCCGTATGAACTTTGCACATCTTCACATCTCCTCTATTAACGATTTCTCGAATGAGGTGATACTTCCTCTCAACATGTTTGGATTTGAAGTGTGACCTAGGCTCCTTTGATTGAGCAATGGTGCCATTGTTGTCACAATACAATTCGATTCCCTTTTGAGCACTTGGTACGATATCCAGCTTAGTTAGGAATTTCTTTATCCAAACAGCTTCTTTGGCCGCTTCAACTGCAGCCAAATGTTCTGATTCTATTGTAGAGTCTGCGACAGTGCTTTGCTTCGAACTCTTCCAGCTCACTGCTCCTCCATTCAGACAGAAAATGTACCCAGACTGTGATCTAAAGTCATCGCTGTCTATCAGGAAACTCGCATCCGTATAACCTTGACAACCAACTCATCTTCGCCACCATAAACTAGAAACATTTCGTTCTTCTCAAGTACTTAAGGATGTTCTTGGCAGCTGTCCAGTGTGCATCACCTGGATTTTCCTAAAACCTGCTACACATGCTTAGAGCAAATGCAACATCCGGCCTCGTACAAATCATGGCATACATTATCGATCCTATTGCAGAAGCATAAGGAGTGATAGCCATACGTCTCATCTCATCCGGCATAACCGTACATTGAGATTTACTGAGCGTAATGCCATGAGACATGGGGAGAAATCCTCTCTTGGAGTTTGTCATCTCAAACCTGTCAAGAACCTTATCAATATAAGTCTCTTGACTTAGTCTAATCATCCTTCGAGACCTGTCTTGATGGATCTTGATTCCCAAAATGTACTCAGCGTTACCCAAGTCCTTCATGGAAAAACAACTCTTCAACCATTCCTTGACAGACTCAAACATTGGTATGTCATTTTCCATGAGAAGTATGTCATCTACATACAAGACTAGGAAAACTATTCTCCCACTAGACTTCTTGTATACACAAGGTTCCTCTTCACTTTTGAGAAAATCAAATTGTCTGATTGCTTCATCAAAACGAAGACTCTTGTATGCTTGCTTCAATCCATAAATGGATTTCTGAAGTTTGCATACCTTACTAGGATTTTCTGGATCTTCAAAACCCTCAGGTTGTGTCATGTACACTTCCTCCGTCAGAACCCATTCAAGAAGGCGGTTTTGACATCCATCAGCCAAATTTCGTAATCGAAAAATGCAGCAATCGCTAGAAGAATCCGAATGGACTTAAGCATGGCTACTGGGGAAAAGGTTTCATCATAGTCAATACCATGAATCTGTCTGTATCCTTTCGCAACCATTCTTGCTTTATGGATGTAGGCATTTCCATCCTTGTCTGTTTTAATTTTGTAAACCCATTTGCAACCAATAGGTTTTACCCCATCAGGCAAGTCAACTAGGGTCCACACTTCATTTTCAGACATTGATTCCATTTCGGACTTCATGGCATCAAGCCATTTATCTAAGTTGGGGCTTACCAAAGCTTTCTTGTAGGTTGTAGGTTCTTCATTCTCCAATAAGAAGATTTCTGAATCCTCAGTTATCAGAACCTCAACAAACTGTTTGTTTCTGATTCTGGCAGACCTACGTGGGGTAGGAGCAACAATAGAAATATTCTCTCCAACTCCTTGAAGATTTTCGCATGAACTAGGTTCAAGTGGGACGATAGGAGTCTTGCTAGTCGAATTAGCTCGCTCCGACGCATGATTAATCGACTCATGCGCCCTCGCCTCTGACGTGGTGTTATCCACATCCATTTGTTGCTCATCTCGAATTTCTTCGAGAACCACTTTACTCCCACTTGGCTTTCTAGACGGGAATTCCTTTTCTAGAAAGACACCATCGCGAGCAACAAACACTTTGTTATCTTCGCGATTGTAGAAGTAATACCCCTTTGTTTCTTTTGGATAGCCCACAAAGAAACATTTGTCTGATTTAGGGTGTAGTTTATCACCAAGTAAACGTTTTACATAGGCTTCACATCCCCAAATCTTGAGATAAGACAACTTTGGAACCTTTCCAGTCCATATCTCATATGGTGTCTTCTCAACTGCTTTGGACGGGCTTCTGTTTAGTACTCTGGCAACTGCTTCTAATGCATATCCCCAAAATGATATGTGAAGATCAGTAAAGCTCATCATGGACCTCACCATATCTAGTAAAGTCATGTTCCTTCTTTCTGACACACCATTCAACCGTGGCGTTCCCGGAGGAGTTAAATGTGAAATTATTCCACAATTAATCAGATGTTCATCAAATTCTTGGGTTAAATATTCACCACCACGATCAGATCGTAATGCTTTAATTGTTTTCCCAAGTTGATTTTGTACCTCATTCTAGAATTCTTTGAACTTTTCAAAGGATTCCGATTTGTTCTTCATTAAGTAGACATAACCATATCTACTTAAATCATCAGTAAAAGTAATGAAGTTGTTAAACCCACCCCTTGCTTTTGAACTCATTGGTCCACACACATCCGTATGTATGAGTCCCAAAAGGTCACTAGCTCTTTCACCTATACCCGTGAAGGGTGACTTAGTCATTTTCCCAAGCAAGCATGACTCACAATTTTCAAATGATTTATAATCGAATGAAGAAAGAAGTCCATCCTCGTGTAATTTCTAGATGCGCTTTTGGTTGATGTGACCAAGCCTACAATGCCATAGGTAAGTTGGGTTTGAACCATATGTTTTCTGCTTTTTATGATCAATATTGTAGACATGAGTTGTATATTCTAAGACATACAAACCATTAATTAATTTGGCGTTAGCATATAACATATTTTCTTTCGAAATAAAACAACATTTGTCTCTTATTTCAAATGAAAATCCTTTAGGATCTAAAACAAGAACTGAAATAATGTTTTTAGTAATTGTTGGTACATAATAACAGTTATTAAGCACCAAATCAAGTCCAGAGGGAAGTCTTAAATGATAACTTCCAATAGCAAGTGCAGCAACTTTTGCTCCATTTCCTACTCGAAGCGTCACTTCCCCTTTTGCTAACTTCTTACTATCTTTCAAGCCCTGCACGTTATTAACGATATGAGCACCACAGCCGGTATCAAATACCCAAGTGGAAGATGAAGTAAGATTAATTTCTACAACGAAAACATCAAGTAACTCTTTACCTTCTGTTTTCACTGGTGTATAGTGGGGACACCCTGGTGTATGGCATGGCCAACTACCGCAAAAGAAGCATTCGCTTCCTCTCCTTTTCAGGAACTCCTCAGCATGGTTAAGTAAAAGATTGATCAATGTCACCGACGATCCCTCATCATTATGAGTGAGCTTGACAATGTCAAAACCATCATGGAGTGAGAACAAGATAATATCATGAGCAGAGTCATCATCGATCGGTTTCCCAAGGACATCCATCTGATTGAACATTTCAATCAGTTCCCTGACATGGGCCCTTACTGACTGACCAGGCATGAGTCTTTTAGCCATTATCTTACAATGAACATTGTAAGCCTCATACTTGACGCTGTCAGTCCAGGAATAGTAAATCTGAGGGATCAAGTTAACGACCTCTCTTACATTATGATCTTTGTAGCCTCCACTTTCTAATGCCCCAATGCCACCTCGACAGATGGCACGAAGACATTTGTACAAGTTGGTTAGCTCAGTGCCTGAATCTTCTTTTCCAACAAGTTGGAATAGATTCTAAAATGAGCCCTCTGATTTTCTCTGCAGCTGAAACAATTTCAGCATGCCTTTTAGTTTCATATTTTTCTGTATACTTGCTCTCAACAGGAATATATAAACGAGATTCAAGCCCATGTCTTGTGAGAAATTTTCTCAACTCATTTTCCCATTCCCTGAAGTTTATGAGATTCAGCCTTAAGTTAAGTTTCATAAGTAAAACTGTGTTGTCGTATATGTTATTCATCTACAAACAAAAACAAACGAGGCAAAGTTCAATAATTATGTTTAATAAACTTTTAAAGTACCATAAGCGATTATAAAACTGGTAACTTTAAAACATTCATTCAATTTAATTGATCCCTATTGGATAGAATGATTCCAAGATCCTTTATTTGTGCAATAATTGACCGGACTTTGGCCCTACCATCAACTATTACATTTTCAAGGTGAGTAAACTCTTTACTGATTACAACTTTTTGTAATTCTTGGTTGAATAATTATCCATCACATGTTTAATTATTACCCTTAGCTTCAAGGTTCTAAACTCTTTAGGTAACCTTGTTGAGTATAACCAATCAAAAGTGTAAAATTTGTTTTACCCCCACTCCCCTAAGATATAATATGACACCCTGCTTTGGCATGACCCATCATAAATATCGAAGGTTTCATCGGGTTTTTGATTGGAAAAGCTACCTCAATATTACTGGGACCTAGATTCATTATGTTGTGATTATTTAGTGAACTCTAGCGCATCATCAAACAACATAAATAAAATCTAACATGCATAATCTACTAATGCATAAATGAAAACATGACATAGTATGGCCCCTTAATCCTAAGAAAACTAATAAAGCAAAAGCTCCCACTTGAACCTTCATGGATCTCATCCATCTTGCTCCTTTGGGCCTCCACTCCATGGATTCTTAGATTAACTGCAACCTGTAATACCATTCTATTCTATCTACAACTTAAATAAAATAAAATAAATTACAAAATACTTAACGGTACGCAGACCGTATTTAGATTACAAAAATACGAAACGATGCGCAGATCGTATTTAGAATCTATGGGCCATACTAGTCTATATAGCCATATATAACATCATATATTATAAAATGCCATATAATAAATCACTCATCATGCTTTCCTAAACTACAACATCGAATGTTCACAGTAAAGGAAACATGGCTCCTAAATATCTCACATTTAATTAATTACTGTAATTAGATAATATCATATATTATTCATAACCAATTATAAAATATCATATATTTTAATTTAGGTATGAGACAGAATCAAATCTTATTTTAATTATGGAAGATAAATCATATTTATTTTCCATGATTATCCTAACTTTTAGGAAATTCTATCTTAATTACTTGCCAATCACATATTTTAAATCAATTAATATCCTAAAATAATTATGGGATAATCACATTATTTAATCAATTATTATCCAAATAGAATCTTTTTCTCCATAATTATCCTGTCTTAACAAAATTAACAACTTTAACTTTGTTAATTATCTTTTTCTAAATCAAAACTTATCTTTTAATTTTTAATTTTGAAAACTGATTTTTATCCAAAATAAAATAAAATAAATTTTGTTTTTTTTAGAAAGTCGCGTCAGCCACCGTGGTGTGGCCAGCCAAAGCCGGCCACGGTGGTCGTACACCTTGCGGTGTACGCTGCCCTTGCAGCGACGCAAGGACAGCAGCAACAACACACGCAACGGGGTGGTGCACTACTGTGCTGCCCCTGTTCGATCCGAGCCCAGGCCACCCTCCCTCCTAGACCACCATCGATGCGGCAGTCGCCGTGGCTGTGCCACCCAGCCGCGGCCGCCGCACCTCAATCCCCTATTTTATTTATTGATTTTTAATTTAAAACAAAACAGTTTTATTAAAATTAAAATTAATGTGGTCCATCTAATTTAAAATTAAATCATATTCAATTTTAAAATTAGGGTTCTTCATGAATTTAATCCCAATTCAATTTAACTTTTAAATTAAATGATCATCATCATGAAAAATTCACAATTTAACATGAAATCAAATAGATTAAATTCACTAAACATAAAACTTTCGAATTAAATCAAAATCAAAAACACAAATTTCATAATTGGGGTTAATGATTTCGAAATTTTTGAATATTAAAGGGGGGGTTTCGAATTTTCGAATAATGTAGGGCAATTTTTGGATTGATTTAGGGCTAATATGGAGCAAATTAAACAACTTTTAATGATTCTATATTGTTAAATCACATTTAATATAATAATTGACCCATAATTAAATTATTCTCCCTTCTAATTGAATGAATATTGTGGATTATCAAAGGATTAATACTCAATATATGTAATTGCAAGAGGCTCTGATACCACTGTAGGGAAATATAGGTACTACACAGCGGAAATAAACATGAATCATATTCATATAGCACCTAACCAAGGATCTCATGCATAACACATAAAGAGTAACAATAATACCTTTGAAGCGTGATTCCACTAGTAATCGAATAAGAACAAGGGAGACAAAGAACCTCAAACGTGATTCCTCTACTAGGTCCACAGGCACGGATTAAGACCTCCACTAATGCTAGTTAGTCGCGATCGAACTCTTCAATCGACTTTCTACGGAGAAGTATGAACAACGAACTAGTCACGAACCACCACGAACCACCGCGAGCACCACCAGGGGCGGCCGACCGCAAGTCCAAGGGGGAGGAGAGGGGTGCCGTGAGAGAGAGAGAGAGGGAGATGAGGGTTTTGGGATTTTGGTTGCCTTGATTCACAATTCACTATGAGTTAATTATGACTCCTATATTCAACCCTAGGCATGGATCTTATTTATAGATCACATCTCTAAATAAGAGTCCATGATAAAGCCCAATTCCTAATCCCAATCAAACTACAGTAGCCCAATCCTATTCATGATTAGTTAAATGCTCATAAGGCCCATTAATGGGCCTCTTACTTGCTTAACCCAATACCTTTGTGTGTGACCTCATAGGATCCATTCTAGCGGGCTTTGGACTATTTTACTAGCCCAAAGATCATCTCTCATAGTCTAGCAACAGATGATGACGCCCCAAGAGAATGAACTTATTATCTCCATAATAGTGATCCTTGATATATCTAGTAATTGCACTTATCGAAGACACAACTCCTTCACTAGAGTCATGAGGCCCATGACGGGCCTCGTCCTCTAATGCTCGATCTAGCCCCTTTGTGTGACCTTATAGGATCCGTCCAATTGGGCTTTGGCCTACTTTACTAGTCCAAAGACGTACTTCTAGCTATGATAAAACGACAAACCAAATGTATGAACTTTATTATCTCCATAATTTGATCCATTTATATATCTAGTAATTACACATGACGAAGACATAACTCCTTCATGAATATCATGACACTTTTGATACTGCAAATATCAATACCTTGCCTAATATAGTTTCTATCGGGATATCAGCAGCACTCCTACTAATGGTGAGCCTCTTAGGCCACACTCTCGGCTCCAGGGAGTTTGCCAATGCCTTTTGGATAGCCCACACTCTCAGCTCCGGGGAGTGTGCCAATGCCTTTTGGATATTCCCCTGTCCAAATTCCAGGAATGGATAATAAGGATAACCCATGACTTATGCTAATGAGTTCATAAGCCCTCTTTTCTCCTTATGGTGGTAGATCCATATCCGCTTCAAATAAATTTGTAAATGCTCAATTTACTCCAATTGGGCCAGTCCATAAATGATTCAATCATAAGTTCAAGGTCAAGGTCCAACCCTCCAATCCATGCCAAGTTAATCAAAGACCCAGTCAACGTGGCCAACCCACTTGACTCAAGGCCCATTATCTCCCTTATGTCAAGGTATAAAAGCAATCAATCTTCTCTCTCTACATTCATTCACTTAGAGCTTCAATCAATTAATAGTCTTGCATAGCTTTCTCTCTCTAAACACTATATTGACTTCGGCATCGGAGGGGTCTTTCTCGGCACAACCCCCGAGGCCAGTTTACGTGTGTTTGTTGTGTAGGAAATCTTCGGCCCAGCCATCACTTGGACCGAGTTCAGTCTTTAGCCCACTAGAAAGGGCCTATCTGAAGGTCCCATTGTTTTCACCCGAAGCACCGTGTATTATTCATCTTTAACCATATGAAAATTAGCCTTCACTATGTGTTGTATGCATATCAATTTATGTTATTTGATTGGATTTTTCTTATTTCCCTTATATATGGTTTCCATGCTATGATTTATAAGATAACTTTGTAAGGCTATGTTGTTGTATAGGTGGTTATTTTCATGATTGAAACATAAATAATTATCATTTTATTAAACATGAGGAACGTATGTTATTGGCTGACTGGCTATAGATAATGTTTAAAGCCTTAAGCATATTATGACACAGCAATCAGACCTACCCAGGTATATATGACAGGGAAAAAGCAGCAGAACTATTTCAATATAGTTAGTTACCTACTTATAACAACATTATATAGTGAATCTATTACCACTACAATAAGCATATGTTTATTACTTAATATCGCCCCCTCCCCACTGCCTTATCCTTCAAAAAAGTAACTGGTAACCATCTGTCTAGTACTATAATTGTACTTGTTACAGATGCCAGGGAAGAATCAATGACAATGCATATCGCCAGCTTATATTGCTCTAATTATTGTCCCTCTTTCGTATGAATAGTCACAAAAGCTATTGTAAGATGTCTGAAAAAAAAGTTGACATCCTCAAAATAGTTGTACCTCCATCCCAAAATTATTGGTCACATGACATGACTATTGTATCAAATTATCAATTAGCAGATTGCATTCCCGCTAATTTGAAAGTTAAACATACCAGTATATATTAATTTTTATCAATGAAGGATATCAGCTCTGCTGAACTCCAGGCATCACACTCTGCTGGGAAGATATTGACCTCTTACTAGTAAAAAGTATTCATGCCCACAGCAGCTGTAAAACTTGATCAGCCAGCCATCTGCAAAACCTTACATGCCAAGATGGTGATGGAAGATAAAACTTATGTTGGCTTATTGATCAAATCTTTACTTGCAATCAAGCATCATCCTTTAAAGGCATCTACAATTTCAACAGATATCTGAAGATAACTACTAAAACCTACAAAAAATGTGTATAATAATACGATAGAATCAAAATTCTTCACTGGACACTTTGTAAGGCTATGAAAGGTTGCTCAAACTTATCTGTTACATACTTGCAGGCTCTGGGCAAGTATTACAGCAGTTAGCTAAGGTTTAGTTTTAATTAAAATACACACTTTCAGATTCAAGAAGTTATGTAAGGGTATAAAACATGCAAGTGCAGCACCAAATCTCAACTGCTCCTCCAGACGAACATTTTTTTAGATTGACTTGTGAATGAGTTTAGTATCTATTATACCAGTACCACCAAAAGTACATATCTAATTAACTAATTGTATGTACCAGACTATTTTTTCTTTCAAGATTGAACCCTATACTAAATTGTAAGGTAAAGCTGTTCATCTCAGTTACTGCTCAATTTTCTTCATTTTAGAATTACAAAAATCACTGAAGGACCTTTGCATGAGAATCCTTAGACCTACAAGATCCCTTTTATTAATGCCTAAAAGAAAAGCTATAGACATTTCTAGCATAAACAAATCTAAATATTTTTAAGAATTCACATAAATAAGCCTCTCTAGTACCTCCTTGAAGTATAAATGAAAGGAAAAATGGAAAAGAAAAATCCAACCTTTGTACTTTTCCCGTAGAAAAATCCAACCTTTTGTTTATTCCTCAAAAATCCAACCTTTATACCCTACCTTCTCCTACAAATCCATTACCGGTTGATTACCTATTTTTATAAGTTATATGACATGTGTCAACTATTAATAGGTCAAAACATTTTTTTAATTATTAAAAAACAAAAATAATTAAAAGAAAAAATTTAAAAAAAAAAAAAAATCAGAAACCCACCCACCCTCATTCCCTGACCACCACATCCCCACCGCCCACCAGCCACCAGAACCCGGCAACCCCAATCTCCTCTCCATTGGAAAACCCACTACACTCCTCCCGCCGCCAAGCCGCCCCTACCTCCGTTTCAGCAGCCCCGCAACAACCGCAATCACAACGGCACCACCCTCCAACTTTAACCTCACGCTGCAAAGTTCCCACCAATCACCAATCCACATCCACCTTGCTCGCCACCACACGACACCAGCAACACAACCACACAGCCACACACTTCAGCCCACCAATTTACCTTCACCAACAATCAACTCGCCAACAACAACAATTAACTGCTGCCCCAAACTACAGCCACCTATCCCAAATCGACCACCAATTCGGATGCCGCCGCATCATTTCCACCACCGCAATCGAAGCCCACCAAGTGTTGCCACCATTCAAACCTCAACAAGCCCCAACCTAAATGACCGCACTTATGTAATCTTACCTCAAACATTCGTATTTCTTAGGATAAAGGGAAGTATGGTATTCTGGGAGTACAAACAATTCGGAACAACCTGTTTGAGGTGAGTGGAGAGAGAAAGAAGAAGAGTGAGGTGGCGGTGATGAGTGGTGGTGGCGAAGGTGGGGTTGGTGGTTCCGTGGTTTTAGTGTTTGAGGTGAGAGGAGAGAGAAAGAAGAAGAGTGAGAAAGGAAAATGAGAAAATTAAAAAAAAAAAAAAAAAAAAATTAACCTGTTTATCAGGTCACAGGTAAAATGGACCTGTTGGAGAAAGAGGGGTATAAAGGTTGGATTTTTGAGGAATAAACAAAAGGTTGGATTTTTCTACGGAAAAAGTAAAAAGGTTGGATTTTTCTTTTCCATTTTTCCTAAATGAAAAGCACTACATTTGACATCAATTATTTAGGAAACAATGTATGAATTCCATTATAGAGGCATAGAGCTATAATCTTTCATAACGACATTTTTCTCTTCACCGGTCTTCCAAGCACGCTCTTGGATTGACTTGCAGCAATAATCATGTAGGCATAATTTACATCAATAATCATGAGGGCATTTCAGGAGTTGTTACCCATTCATTTGAATGTCGACCTAATCTTCAGTATGTACCAAATGGAACAGAAATAACTACAGAATATCAGATCTTATTAGTTTTAGATTTTTCAGTAGTCAACTTTTCAGGATATCAATCTCTCACTTTTCTAAAGCATAAAATCAGTAGCAAAGGTTTAACATTCTAAATAGACTTCACCTCTTCATCCATCTCATCAGATTCCTCAAAACATAGCTGTAAGACTAACAGTACTTATATTATTTAAAGCAATAATCAGGTAAAGTAAAATAAGAAGCCAAAGCAGCTTCTAACTACAATCCTCATAGCTCAAAAAATATCTGAAACAACTTGAACTGAAAGGCCATTTTTAGGAATCTATTTTAAGTAAGGAAATGCTCAACTGTCTGAAGAACAACATTCACCATAAGAAAAAATAGAATTTTACCACTGTACTTTTGCGGAAACTATTAGAAGTTTCCATCGCCATATACCTATTTGATTCTCAAGAAAGAAAAAAAAAAAAAAAAAAAAAAAAAAGCTGAGGCACAGCAACATACAACTTGACCTTTGTAAGCAGCAGCATAGGAATATAACCTACAAAAACAATGACTAAGAGTAATCCTTAACAGTATTATCTTCAGCCCATGATGACAGCTATATATAGACCTCGTAATCAAAATAAGTTCTGCAAGGAGAAGCCAAGCTAGCTAAGCTTTAAAAACAAACCATCAACATTTCCAATTTTTCAAAGCTCGGGGTAAAGCAATGGAAATTGTGAAGAATCTAGTGAGTGAAATGCCACTAGTGATCTTCAGTAAAAGCTCTTGCTGTTTTTCTCACTCAATGAAGCAACTTATGAGAAGCTATGGAGCCAATGCAACAGTATATGAGCTCGATGAAATTCCAAATGGGAAGGAGATTGAAAAGGGTCTTTTGAGCATGGGAAATAAGCCAAGTGTGCCAGCTATTTTCATTGGCCATAAGTTAGTTGGTGGATCTACAGAAGTCCTTAGCCTCCAAATCCAGGGGAAATTAGCATCTCAGCTCAAGGAAGCAGGAGCCATATGGGTTTGAAATAGTACATAACTAAAGACTTTTCATTGAGCCTCTTTCTTTTACTGTACAAGACTACAAGGTAACAAGATTAGAAATCAGTTAGACAATATGATTCTGCTAATGTAATCACTTAAACTAACGAGGAGCTTCTCTTCAATATTTCTCTGCAAATAAAGATATACCCTACTATTCATAAATAAGTTGAGCAGTGTCCACTAATGGAATCACTTTCATTTGTAAATGGAGAGCACTACAGTTTATTGTAAAGCAACCAAAATTGTGTGCTTACTAATCTACCATTTTTTTTTTCAAAAAGCACACGAGACATTTTAGAATTTAGATCCTGAAGACAATCACTAAAAGAAAAAATCATTTGAATGATGATTATATGGAGCTAACAATGAATAACAGCCCCGATCCAATCAGACGTCACAAAATATTCAGAATATTTTATGTCACTTGTCGAGAAATCACAAGAATATAGACTAACTAGTTGAAATACTGTGCCAAAAAAACAATGTAAAACATACCTTGGCACCAATATGCTGACATCAGTTTGCAATTTCCTAATTGTTTTCTCCACTCAAAACTGAGGAACTTGTATATAGTACGAACAAAATGCTCATCTCAGTAATGCCAGAATGGGGTAGTTCAATTTAGTTCAATTCAGAATTACACACTGTCAAGGATCAGCAAATCTTATTGCAAGACCTTAATTTCAATAAATGACGATCCTTAAAGTGAAACCCTAACAAAATACTAGACTTTTACAGAATTGACAATTTAAACACATTCCAAGACTTTAAAATATGTACAAGTTCCTATCAAAACTCCACGTAATCTTTCAGAACACCACTTTTCTCCAATAATGCTCTCCTTTGCCAATTCTTCACTGCGTTTATTACCATAGCATTTGCATCATGTATTTCTTTATCTGTAAATTTATGCTCCACAATTCCTACTGGCCCAGGCTGCAGTACCCTTATTACAGTTTCCACATCTTGCTCCAGCTTCCTGATAAAAAAGAAACACTACTTAAGTGGTTGCAAGACAAACTACTTAGTATGATCAACAAGCTTTGACCAGATATTAGAAAGTTGGCGATGGCTTTTTACTAATGAATCGATATTCAAAATCATTCCATTCAAGATATTTAATACTATTAAAGCGTCGACCCAGGATTCGATTTTATCATCAATCCAATCAGAAACAAAAAAACTAGTCAAACTACATGAGAATTTAGGCACACTAAATATTACATGTAAAAACTTCAAGTTTAAATTTTCAAAATACAAATTACATGCTTTGTGAGGCTACTTACCACAGTTTGGTAGGGTTATGCAGTATGCCTCCCACTTTGGCTTGCTAATCATTATGGACATCAAATTATGTTCAGAAAGATAGTTGTTAGTGATCTAATATCTCCCTTTATAGTACAAGTTTAAGTTACTGTTACCTGAAGATTTGAACTCTAGTTCACATTAGCTTTGTCATGTTTCTGCCAATCAGACTTACAGTGCAGTCTCTTTACTTGTTTTTCACCTATCTCAACTTATTAGCAGTGAACATTAGAGCTTTATGAAGGTGTTAATTGAACTTGGGTAGCTCCTATTAGATTTGAACTTAGCTAATCTAAACTTGTTGTATATGAATTTATTGACTATGATAAGGCTCTGTTTTCCTCATTGTTAGCCCATTTAGGCACCTTCTAGAATGCGTTACGCCTTATAAGGCTAATGCGTTTTGGCCCACACTTAGACTAGCCTGGTGCCTCAGTACACTTTTAAAAACTAAGCTTATTTGCTCTGAACTCTTTATCTTATATATCATGAAATAAGTAAATAATGGTTGAGGAGAACAGGGTCATAGACATTAGAAAGGGATTCCTCAAAATCAAACACCAAGTTCAGCTTTGTTTGTATGTATAGGTGTAGCTAAAGTGATAAGTCAATCGTCAATAAGCAGGAGAAGAGCTTAATATACCAATATTCTCTACTACTTCTTTACTCAAATAAGACCAGCACCATCAAAGATCTATTTTTCAGCGATTCAATCTGTAGCACAAACCATTGACTTAGCAGCTTTAGCAACATTTTAAGGGAACTAGGAGTCTATGAGAGTAAGGTAAGGGTGATGAAGGAAAGAGAAGGTAGACATCATCGAAATGTATATTGTGTTGCTCAATTTCCAAAAAGTACCCCTCAGGTTAGAATTCATGTCTTCTACTGCTTCCCTCTAGACAGGTTAAACTCACCTAGGAGTCCTTGCTTGAGCTAAGCTTTAGGCATATTTTCCATTATTACTTTCCTGGTCGAAGTGTAGATGCTATAGAAAATGGTGGAAAAATTAGAATGAAAGAGTTCATCCCTATGTTTTAGGCATGGGTTCCTCCCCAGCCAAAGCCATCACCCGATCTTTCCTTTCCTTGGTGCTATGTTTAATTTTCCAATATTTGGAGTAAGTGTTTATAAGAACCTCTTTTTTAAATATGCCTGAGAGCAAGTCTATGTCAATTGGGAAGAAAATATTGGCTTCTGTTGGACTAAAATTCCAATTAGAGAGGAGAGCCCAAAAGCACGAGTGAGAAAAGTAGAATGAAGAAGATATTTCCAAAGAATCTGCCTGTGATGAACTCAAGCATTTCAGGCATGGTCCTCCCCACCCAAATCCCCAATTCTTGCTCTTTCTTTCTCTTCTTTCAAAGGGATGGGATGGCCAGGAAAAACTCATAGGTTAATTAAAAAGAAAATGTTGGCTTCTTTCAGATAGTTCTTACTGAATATCATTGCTGAAAGACTGGCAACTTTTCAGAACAAGATATTTGTTTCATTCAAATGATTCAATCAAGCTCTTAAAAAACCCAAAGCATAGGACCAATTAAATCTAAATTGCGAACATAGGGAGGATATTTGTTAATTCGGATTAAAAAGAAAGAAACAAAATACCCCCAAAACCTGTGTTTTAGGCTTGGTTTTAAAGTAGAAGAAAGATTGGAAAGACAAGCGAATTAGATAACAAGTCCAGCAATTACAACCTCTGCTGTGTGGAAGCTAGCCACTCAGTCACTGTGTGCATAGAAAAGCTCTTAAAGTCTACAACTACTGCGAACTGGGATCGCTCACCAGCTATACAACAATACAGTAGGAGGGATTAGATCTAGAGTACCCTAGTTGTCATTTTGAATTTCAAAATCAGCAGCTTTGTGACACTACCGGAGCCTAAGCCTTCTGCACACTCATCTCTAAAGATTGTTGTTTCAATCTACATACTATACTTAATTACTAGGTCATACCAGAAACATCCAGCTAATAAGCATATCTAATAAGCCTATTTATTTATATCACCTCTGAATCTCTGATTGAATTTAAAAATTCAATGATTTAAATCAACGATCAATCATAACTTCTATCCTCAAAAAGGTTGATAAATAGCTATAACAGTTAGAATCCTATCAAATACAAATTTCATTCTATTAAACTCCACTAAAAAACCATCAAGAATTTCCCAGATTAAAATTTTTACCATCCAGCTAACAAAGTACATTTAGGCTACCGAAATGTCCAAATTCAATAGTGTTACACCAATACCATAATTGATAAATATTATAGTAAAAAGCAAGATAATGTAATGAAAAAAAAAAAAAAATCAAAGGATAAAGGGCAATACCTCAAAATTCCAGAAAAGGGTAAGGATTTTCCAAGCTTAGTAAAAGACATTTGATTTTTGTTCTTCCAATTACTTTGATTTTCAGCAATTTCAAAACCTGTAACTAACAAATCCAAAATTTCATATAAGACGACAATAGATTACACACAGTTTTTCCTTAACATTAGAGAATTGCATGATATAAACAGAATTGCAACACATTAGCAAACAAATTTGATTCAATCATCAAATTATGTTCGAATATTGACGTTAAATTATTCTAGTTTAAGAATATGAAAAGCAATATTCTAGCAACGAAATCGCTTGTTATAATAATTGATAAGTTGAGTAATTGTAATTAATAGTTGAATAATCCAGCTTAGAAGAACCCTAAATTGACTATATTGAAAATCAAACTAACGATTAACATCAGATAGATTGTGATTGTGAAATTGATAAACAATGATTGAAAACAAAAACACATCTTGCCTTAGAAGCTGCTTCAATGGAGAACTCTGAGAGCGGTTTAATGGGGAAGACTGTAAACTTGAACTGACTCTTTGTTACTACGTTTTCTTTTTTTTTTAAACTAGTTGTGGGAACGCGGACAACAACTTCGTTGGTATATATTTAAGTATTGTTAATTAGGTTTTTTTTTTTTTATCAATTGATGTTTGGCAGTTTTAAGTATTATACAAATAGTTATAAATTTGGGAGAAAAATAATAGACGTACAAACTGAATATATTATTTTATTTTTACAATACAATTATTGTATTACATAAGTTAAAGCTTGTTGCAGAACAAATATCTAAATTTTGCTAAACATATATATATATATATATATATATAAACATTAGTTATTAAAGATAAGTACATGTATAAATATAATTTAAAGTTTAAGTTTAGTAAAATTTGCTGACATTTGTTGTAAAAGTTGTTTGTGATTGTGTTCTTCTAATTTCAATTGATAGTAGTTATAGTCGCCAACATCTATGTTGTAAGTTTGCTGAAGAAATTTGAGTGCTTGTCTAGCAGGGTTTTGTTGTGATGGACCAATTCGAGTAGCTGGTGCCCCAATAAATCGTACAGGACATGGGACATTAGGAATACCATTTATATCTATATAAGCTTTTACTTCATCATTGGTGACAGCATATATACCGAATTCTGCTTGAGGTAATCCCAGATGAAGTAGTATATCATGTAGAATTATTTTGATATTTGTTTCCAGGACTCTCCGTGGTTCATCCATTATATGCTCGTTAAGAACTTAGTATTTTAATGTGAGCTAATGAATTTTTTACGTATGAAGTGAATTTGCAGTAGTTATTGTTTTGAGAGAAAATCTCAGTTTCTATATCTATTTATAGGCATGCTTTAAAAACCTTGTACTGAACTTTTATTACGTATTGAGTTTCAAACACGCGTGTCAAAACAAAAAATGTTTTACAGCACACATGTCAGACACGTATTATGTTTTATGTATACTGCACAAGTATCTATAGTGTAAATTGTACAATTTACACGTGTGTGTGTGTATTCATTTCTAATTTATTATTAAATCCTATGTGCTTAGAATATATTATATTAATTCTATGTATTTGGTATCCCAATAGATTGTACAGGATTGATTATGTTGTAGAGTAAAGCATTAAAATATGATAAATACGTAAAACAAAAGGTTATTTAATGTGAATCTACATGTAAAAATACATATGTATTCATACAAACATTATTTATTATACATTTTAAAGTTGAAATTGTCTAAGGAAACAAAGTTCGTACTAAAAGCGTGAAATTATACACAAACATGCGATCATAAACACGACTGAAAATTGTTATACATCTAAGTTTCAATTATGCGTTTAGCTTTCCAGCGGAGCTTTTGAAATCCTTCTCCCAACATGTACGTGGTCATCTCCATGGTAAGCTTCCTGTCTTTCAACGTTGCAATGCAGCTGTCTACCCTGTTCTTGTAATTGTGTAAAAAATGATTAATGTTTCTCGTAAGTTTGTTTGTAGCTTGAACTTAATATAAATTGTAATTGTTAGGTAATAGTAATAAGTCAAATCATACGTACTTGTAGTGTCAGCGTAGCTATGTGATTAGCGTCATCATTTATCAGTTGTTCAGAAAGAAGACCAAAAAATGTAATCGGAATGTCGCCACTATCATCAGCAAAAGTGATATGCAGTACAGTTCTACAACGCGTATAATTACACATGATTATATAGTTAACAGAATAAAGAAAAGCAGTGATTGTATTCTATGTTATTATTAGTGATTTATCAATTACCGTGGTTCGGACGTCCCTACATGCGGGGAGCTAAATGCACGACAATTAAATACCGATCCCTTTTCGACGTCACATCGTTTGCTACAGATATTGGAGGCATTGTATACTATATTGTTTTTGTTTGTGATGTCAATAACGCGTCCAACGATCCGCAGTGTTTTTCCAGACTTGTACAAAAAAAATGCATGATATAGTTATACAAAACATTATATTGTTCACTCTAATTTGCGTAGTGAAACATATTATGAAATTTACCTCTTGTTCAGATAATTGTGAAACTGGAATCATTAATTCAGGTTGCTGCGAGCTTTCTGCTGCTGCGGCTACGAATGATTTTTAAGGATTCGAATTTCATCCTTATTATTTTCCGCCCTATAAAGGAACATTGTTAGGTAGGTAAAAATTAGTACTTAAATAGAACCAGTTTGAGAAGTTCTGTTTACCAATCTCGCAGAAGTTGTGCTTCCAGATTACTTGGGTTAATTTTCACTGTAGAAGCGAAGGTTGTGTTGAATGAACCCTCTGTAAACATATGTGCAAAAGATAATTAATGAAGTCGTATTCATTATTTTATAAATATTTGTTAATGTCGTATACCATCGAAAGTTGATGCTTTGACGCGAGAAACTTCTATTACAGGCATTGTGTCTACAATGTCAGCAACAGCTTCATGTGTAACCAAACTATTCCACATTGATAATTTAATACGCTTCATGCTGGCAAAAATAGAAGAAATTAAATGTTCAATAAGCATAGATTTAATTAAGTTAAAGAACATACGTATTGGAAAACCAATTTATATCAATATAGTGTATACACATACTTGGAATCTATTATCTCAATCCTACGCACGTCATTAGGCAGCCCAGATTTCTTAGAGCGAATGGTTTCTGTATCATGTATGTGAATAGAAATTCCAATGATATCTAGGAAAAAAGTAAAACAAAAAATTAATCATATGTCAATTAATTTAGATGTAGTCACTATGCACACACAGTAATTACAACATTTTAATATATAGTGTGGGGAATATTTCAAACGTTAATCCCCTAGCTTCAACCCCACTGTGATCATACACTAAAGTACGGTGGCGTCCAAAGGGAAAGAAGATAGAGCAAAAGAGTCGCCAACAAGTTTTAGGAACTTGTAAACCGTTCACGAGGTGAAGGTTACACCCCTTAACGATCCAAGAGATCGTCAACTCCATAAGGTCTTGAACCAAATAGTGTTCGGGGATGAAGGTACAAATCCAACCTAAAAGAAATTGAACCTGCCCTAATAATAGGCCTCTACTTTATTTTGATCGTATTTATGTGCGCTTTCTAACTAACATGCAATCAATAGGATTAACCCTAACCTGTTTATCTATGTTGGTTGAATATTAATGCACAAATAAATCTATTATTGGCGATCACTTGAATTATAATCCAATTAACCAAAAACAAGATTATTAATTTTCTTATTAAGCGTGATTACAAGTATAGATTCCCTTTAAACATGCATAAAAGGCGCGATCAAGCAATAACAATAAAATCATCAAGCAACATAATAATAATTAATCATAATCATAATAACAATCATAATAAAATCATTATCATAATAATAATCATGTTAAAGCATAAAAATAGCAAGATCCTAGGCATGATACTAACAAGATTAATAACAAACCCTAGCATGTCACTAAGCAATAAAAATCAAAGCTTTAACCCTAACATGATACTAACAAATATTAGGAAGAGAATAGGAAGCGTCATACTTTTAATCATACTTGATATTAAAGTTACCCTAAACATGATACTAGGAATTTATTGTTGTCACCCTAAACATCAAATTAAGGAAAACATCCTAACATGATACTAGGAATCATAATAACAACCTAAGCATGATTTCTATATCATAATATCAATAAAAACCATTAAAGTACTTACTTGGATGCCTCGTATCTCTTTCTAATAACAAAATACACACGTTAGTAACTTCAAGGAAAATAATAAGTAAAACAATTAAATTAAATAATGGAAATAGAGATTTGGGACCAAACCCTCAGAAATTAAACCTTTCACGTCTAGGGCGAAGGCAACTTCGAATATGGCTAGGTGTGTCTAAGTCTTGCAAATGCGGAATTTTGTATGTAAAAGGCTAGTTTAGAAAAAGAGAGAGAGAGAGAGAGAATAAGAAAATCTTGATGAGAGTTGGTAGATTGTAGATGAATGAAAATTGGTTATAAAAAACAGAGTTTTTAGCACGTTATTTATAAAGAAAATCAGCCAAAAAGATAAAATATCAAAACAGAGTTCTGGCGCAGATAAAATCTGATTAGCTCCAACGCTGGCTATTGGCGCCAGACGCCGACATTAGCGCCAGGCGCCAATGCTAGCGCCAGGTGCCAAGCGCTACAGCTGGCGTTTAGCGTTGATCTGGAAATTCACGCGTTTTCTTAAAATCATATAGAAATTGTCGTACAGGAGGATAAAATCGTATCTTCTTCAAAAAACGTTCTTTGTTTTTAATTAAAACTCTGAAAAGTCAACAAAAGTCAATTTATCAATGCTAATTGAATTGGGAATGAAAAGAACCTTCTAGAAGAATCTAGAAGACTAAAACCATTCCTGATTGCATTAGGAATGATAAATCCATATTAGGCCCTCCTCTAGATAATTGGGCCGCATATAAGGCTCAAACCGGGCCTAGTTCAGTAATTTGGCCATAACTTCCTCAATATTCATTGGAATTGGGCTTATAATATATCGTTGGAAAGCTCTTGTCAAACCCCATCCAACTATACTACTAGTGGACCCATATCATGGACCAACCAAACTGGATTG